CCAGATTTTAACTTTTAAAGAAGATTTATTTAAGCATACAAGAACTGGGGTGTAGGCCAGAGATGCGGGGGTGAGAGGACTCCCCAGGGACAGAGTGGGGGGCAGAACAGGCAGATTCCCTGAAAACCACCGCGCAGGGGAGCCGCGGGGAGCCAGGAGAGGTCTGCTGCACCCTGTGGGCCACGCCCTGGCCGGAGAGTGGACTCAGGCTGCAGTGGCTGGGCCGGCCTCACAGTGCGGAGGCCCAGCTTGTTTTTCAAAGCAACAATGTACCCCACAGCTGCTCAGAAATGTACACTTAAAAAAAAAAAGTAGTTACTGTATTTGAAGCTTGTTTACCCTTGACTGAGTCCTTAATACCCCCCCATTTCCTTATTTGTAAATGGGGGTTCAAAAAAAACTCCAAGCCCCTCGTGGTGGTGCAGCGGGTTAGGACGCAGCACTGCAGGCCGGCCGCAGCCACGAGTTCGATCCCCGCCGGCCCGGAGCTGACCCCCGTGGCGCGGCAGACCCCTCCTGAGCGCCCGCTGCTCCCCTCAGCAGTGACTTTGTCCATCTGCTGTTCTGCTCCCCGCTCTGTCTCGGGTGAAGCCTCTCGCCACCCCTGAGCCTCTGGCCTGTACCCCAGTCTGTATGAATAAATCGATCTTTATAAATAAATAAACAAACTCCACTCTAAGGCTTGACAGAATCTGGGGAGATTAACAGCTTAACAGAGACCTGAACATGGAGAAGTCAGAAAGTCAAGGCGGCAGCTACTCACTGTCGCTGAAGCGATGCCTATTTTTAAATAGGCAAAACAGAGCAGGCAAATGCAAACAAGATGACCACATGAGAGCACTGCTAACGGCAGGAAGAGAAGTTAAGCAACCAAAGTTGGTGTCATTAGAAGGTTAATGCAAAAATACACGCGTTAGAGGAGGGAGAAATATAAATAAACACATCGAGACAGATAACGCGAACCCTTCCGGTACCAGACGAGCAGGAGCTTCGAGGCGGGCCAGCGGGGCCCTCTGCACGGTGATGCAGGCAGACGGCCGCACCAGTGGCGAGTTCCAGTACGGTCCGCCACCGGTCGCGGCCCGCTCAGACTGCAGCGACGGCTTCTTTTGCTCAGTTCATAAACACAGACCCTGTCAAAGAGTACGGTACTGGACAAACAACAAGCCCCAAAAACCTAGATGCCAAAGACACACCCCACAGGATATTTGCACTTGAAGCCGAAACACGCGTAAGGTCTCTCGAATCTAAACCCCCTATTTCAGGCCCAATCCGCGTCAGCACCGAGCGTCCTGTCCCCGACATCCGGTGCCCTAAGACCCTCCGCAAGCACATGCTGCCCGCAGGGCCCGGGGAGCACAGGGCTGCCGAGGCGGACGGCGCAGCGGGCGCCAGCACCCCGGACGGCCGCGGGGCACAGCGGCACGGAGAAGCGGGAACGAGGGGCGACGACAGAGCAAACCTGAGGTGTCCGGCGGAAGCTCAAAGCGCCTCAGCCAGCCCGCTCGAGGGAAGGGGGGCCCTTCCGCCGCAGATCGGGAACCAGCTCCGGGAGGCCGAGAGCACGGCGAGCGGCGGCCGGCCGGCTGGAAAGAGGCTGCAGAGCAAGGCGGGCAGCGGACACCCCTGGGTCTCAGGAATCTTGGGAAAAGGACGTCGCTGGCGAGGCGCTGCTGCGGGCAGCGGCACCAGAGGACAGGCGAGCGCTCAGGCCGTGCGGCACAAGTGCTTGCTGCGGACTCCCGGCGCCCAGCGGGCGCACCGCAGACGCCCACACCCCCACGCTTCGGGGCCAGGGGACGTGCGGGCCCCGGGCCGGGGACGGCACACCGGCTGACCTCGGGTCAGCTCAGGGGCGACTGAGGACATTATGGCCCTGGGCACTTGCTAGAACGGGTGCCCGGAGGCCCTGACGGTCGGGGGTCGGGAGCTTGGTGCTGGGATCCCGGGGGCTGAACCTCTGGCCACTCGCGGGGAGGACACCTTCCAGGAAGGAGGGGCTGAGGGCAGCATGGGGGAAGCGGTGCCGTGAGCCATGGCTGTGCGCTAAACACCCAACCCAGGCCGCTGCGGGGTCCCCGTCTCAGGGCTTCTGAAGCCGGAGCCCCAGTCAGGGGGCGCCCACCTCTCTCTGCCTCAGCCGTGAGCCGTTCTCCCCACCTCCACTCGGCCTCACCTGATGAGCCACCCGGCGCCCGCAGCCCTCACCCTCAAGCCCCGAGGCCCGCCGCGGCCAAGAGGCCTATTCAAGAAATGGTCTTTCTCCTCTTCCCGAGGGCCAACTGTCCTCCACTCGCTGCATCCAAAGACTGGACATTCAGCCCCCGACGTTCTGCCCGGGCACTCCCCCCCCCCCCAGGCCACTGGCCCAGGCCCCCTTCCCACCTGACAGCCTGCAGCCTCGCCTCCCCACCCCTCTCCTCTGACAGCTCAGAGGAACACCTGACTGGCCTGCAAGGCCGGGGAAGGCCCAGGGCACCAGGTGAAGGCCGGTCAGGGAAAGGGGTCCCAAAGCCTCACCTTTCCTTTGTAAATAATACACTAGTTTATTCTCACATCACTCTGCGCCCTTTTCCACCTCAGCTGCAATCTCCGTGGGCTTAGATCACCCGTGCGCCGTCACCACAGCCCAGTGCATTCCTCTCCCCGTTTAAGTCTCAACTTTGAGCTGAAACTCAGCCCCAGCCGAGGCTCCTCGAGTGGCAAGGAACAGCCCTGCTCTGGGGCCCGTCCAGACGCGCCTGCCACTGAGCCCCTCCAAGCCCCGCTCAGCGGGGACCCGGGGAGACGCCTGCGGGGCGGGGGGGGGGCGCAGCTCACGGAGCACAGGGCTGCCCCAGGGCTCCCCGCAGGTGAGGCCCTGCTCTCAGCCCCCCCACCCCCCATGGCCGGCAAGGCCCGCGGGGCTGGGCTGCATCTGGGAGGGCTGCACTCCGCAGAGAGCCGCAAGCGCGCAGACACGAGGGTGGAGCCAGCCAGGGCCCTGCTTGCTTGTTTTTAGAGTGACAACTTTTTTGTATCGTACATGAAGAAATGACAAAATCTTGGCACGGTCACTGTGTCTGAACTCGGCCCGCGGACCACTACCAATCCACAAAAAAGACCCCGGCTGCCTTCAACGGCACAGCCAGGTTCAAGAAACGCAGCGCTGGGGAAACCCGCAGCGTGAGCGGCACGACTCAGTCATGCCAGTCAATTCTCAATGCCCTGAATCGCTGGTCAGTTTCTTTCCCCTCATCAGTTCTTTGTTCTTACGCAATAATAATAAGACGCCACATTCTGACGTTTCTAGTAAAGTTCAAACACACTAAGAATTTCATTTCCAAGTGTAAGCACGCAGGACTGCTGGCTATCCGCATTATTCTTAGGGAAAAAAGCACCCACGGACCATTGTGGAGACCTCTCCAAATGCCCACTTTTCAAACTTCTGCTGCCAGCTTCTTTCAAAAAGCAATTTTCGACTCGTTGTTAGAATGGCACTTTCCCTGGAGCAGGCAGAATGCTTCCTTCCTCAAACACTCTGCATTTACTGGGTAGCTCCCTGCTGAAAGCCACTCACGAGCACAGAAGAGCTCAGCACATCACGCGGCTCACCTCCCCACGCCACTCGCCCCAGCACAGCAACGCCGTCAGCTTTGTCCCAGGCAAACAGCAAACCTGGGTCTGGCCAAGGGCTGTGCCACCGGCAGGTCGGGTCACCCAGCGACGCGTGCGCAGACAGGACACGGCGAGGCCGACCGCGCGGCCGCCCGGCCCTCTCC